TAGTCCCCCGTTGGTGGTCATTGACAGTGCTGTCAAATCACCCAACCACAGACCAGCAATGTGAGGGGTTATCTTTACTTTCCTGATTGCCCACTCCCAGTACACCTCTCCCACTTTACTTCCCTGATCACCCATTCCAGGTAAACCTCTCCCACTTTACTTCCCTGATCATCCATTCCAGGTAAACCTCTGCCACTTTACTTTCCTGATTACCCATTCCAGGTAAACCTCTCCCACTTTACTTCCCTGATCACCTGCTCCCATTCCGCTCTCCCTCCCTGGGGAAGTTGGGCCGGGACTATACTTCCACTGTCGAGTGGAGATCACTCTGTCTGACAGTACCGGCTTCATTTCAGTGTCAGGTGTGGGATTGTAGCGAGCCTCCTAGCACACAGCACCCCATTGCCACTTTGCAAGGTGCCCAACAGTTGGTGGACCCAGCAAGGACCCGTCTGGATGCACAAAGAGTGCCAGCGGGTCTTGTGTTGGGTACCAGGGTTCTAGAGAGATTTAAGCTGAGTATACACAGAGGCAATTTGGTCGATTCTTGAGGAACCTACTAAAATTTGTTCCATGGGTGTCTCAGTTGGCTGGATCTGGCCTGACAGTATCAGCTTCATTTCAGTGTCAGGTGTGGGATTGTTCTAGCACACAGCACACAATTGCCACTTTGCAAGGTGCCCAACAGTTGGCCGGATCCTGTCCAGCATCTTTCTTCTAAAAAAAATTGAAGGTTCTGAGTGGAAAATTGATGGCTGAGGAGTGCCTGCATTCAATCAGATGCCGCACTGTTCAGGTGTTTAGACAGCCGATGGGACCAACTGTTGAAATACAATAGCTACAGCGGGTTGATTCCTCAATCCTTGCTGCTTAGCGTGGATAGAGGATCCTGTTAGATTTTTTTTTGTGCAGCCTAAAAGCTTAAAAACAGAAATCTAACAGTATACAGCCAGCTTCACTTGTGCCTCCGAGAAGGAAAATCTCTGCAATGTGACAATGTAGAACAAAGACCCCCAAAAATGCAAGCTTGACCTGTGTTTTAGTAATTCCCCCCCTCACCTTCTCTATTTAAAACTAAAAAAAGTTCTGTCTTTAGATATACTTTCAAATGTGTTATTGTAGTAGCAGGACAACCACCAGGAGATTTTCAGTGCACCAAGCATTTCAAGGAAACATCTGCTGCAATAGGCTCACAACAGGTTCTCTTTAAGCTATTCCCACAGAGATGCCACAGTTTTCCGTGCCAGCTTGAGTGCAGGTTCACTCCTAGCCCGCCATAGTGTGTATTGTGGTTTTTCTTTTACTGAAGCCCATTGGATCTTTCAACTAACAACTTGAATGCTGCGTAATGTATTCCCAGTACAACTTGGTGTCCTTCAATGTCTTTTGAGAATCTTTCCAAAATGGTGTTGCCTTATTAATATCAACATTATTGCTTTGCTAGATGACGATATATAACACCAGTCTTAGATATTTTCAGTGGCTGGAGGGTGAAGTGGACCTCAGAGGAAGAAACTGGCTGAGTATCGGGGTGCTGGAACACACGTCTTCATTCTCCTGAGGAATGGTCTCTGGAAGAGGGGGCGCTCCCATCTCTCCGGGCCTGGGGAGCCAAAGTGAATTGGGAGAATTCAGCCTGACGCTTCTTGTTCTGTTTTCCAGAACTGACTGATCGGTTAATGTCAGGGTCATGTTAAATTGAAGAGGAAGGCTAGATTCACCCTCAGGGTGAAAAAGAACCGTGGATTCTGTTTCTGGTGACAGTAGCTTGCCATCTGTAGAGTGCTGTCTATAAAGATCACTACTTAATCCGTTTGGGGTGACTGGAGAGGGGCTCAGGCAGCATCCTGCAAGACACAGTTTGGATAAAAGTCATTGAAGTAGATGCAATCCCTAATTGAATGACATTCAGTTTGCTAAAGCACAATGAGGGAATTTATGAAAACTGGAGCAGACAAAATCTGGAGCAGTTGCCCATGGAAACCAATCAGCTTCTTTCTTTCATTTTCAAATCTTAACTGAATAAACTGAAAATAGATGCTGATTGGTTGCCATGCACAACTGCTCCAGATTTTATCTGCTCCAGTTTTTATACACCCCCCCACCCCCCGTGTATCATAAGATATTACAGTTTTAAATAAGATACCGTATTTGCCGGCATATAAGGCCACAGGGTGTATAAGACGACCACCTAATTTTCCACATAAAATAAAGGTTTTGGCTATACTCGTCATAAAAGACTACCCCACTTCCAAGGCAACGACATTTAAAAACATCATGGATGGATGTGCGGTAATACTGTATGTACGGTAGCTTCAGCTACATACAGTATACCGCGCTGAGCCAATCATGGCGAGCAATGTATTCTATTAATGAATACAAAGCTTGCTTGGATTGGCAGAGTTGTGTACATCGCTCGCCATGATTGGCTCAGCTCGGTATACTTTATGTAGCCGAAGCTACTGTACATACAGTATTACCTCACATCCAGCGGGCTGACAGATTAGGGATGTTCGTTTTGGGCCACCTTGGCCCAAACGAACTAAAGGTATACATTGTATACCCCGCGTATAAGACGAAAAAAAGTAGTCTTATACGCCAGCAAATACAGTACTTGTTTTAACCAAGATCTCCTGTAGACTCTTTGCAGCCATTTCTCCTCTACATACACAACCAGGGATGGCTGCATGGCATTCTAAAAGCTGGATTACCTGATGATGACAACAGCAGCCCATGCCTGTGTGATGTGGGCTGAAATGGCCACTTTTAGTCTCCATCAGAAGCCAATATGACAATGCAGAAGCTCAGGGGCAAAGTGGTGTCATCGCTAATAGTAAGGGGGTGATTTATAAACCGTTCGCATAGTGAACAGCTATGCAAACGAGATTATGGCTACTATATGGAGCCGAGGACCATCGGAAGCAGGAAATTCCTATGCTCCTCTGCTCCACCTAGTGGCCAAATTGTGCAACAAATCTTATTCCCATAGCTTTTTATAAATCACCCTGGAGGGATCACCAGATATTATTTCCAGGTATATTCCAGGTTTTACTAGTTAAATGCACAGAATATTGCTAGATATTGAGTTCTCATAGGTATATTAAGCATCAGAGATTGTTGATCCAGGGAATATCCGATTGCCTTATGGGATCAGGAAGGAATTTTTTTCCCCTGTTGGAGCAAATTGAACCATGCTTATAGGGTTTTTCTTGCCTTCCTCTGGATCAACGGGGGGTAATTGGGGGCATAGTGTTCTGCTTAGGCTTTTTTTTCCTCATATCTCTATAGGTTGAACTCGATGGACAACTCGATGGACAATATAAGAAATAACTTCTGAAATGACATTAATATGTTAAAACTTATATAAGAGTTTAGTGACAGAGTCAACTTTAAGAAACAGTAAGTGCTGAAGTCATTATTAGTCATTTGAATGTGCTAACCTCCCTGTGGAGCTCAGGAGGGCCGATGACTGAGCAGAATAAACTTTGACTATGGACTCTTGAGGGCCATATCCGACTGGTGATCCTGTCCATGTTGGCAAATCACTAGTGAAAGATCACTAAGAGAGCACACACCCATTAATTATCCCACAGTGGCTGCAACTAGAAAGGTCAGTAAAGGCTTGTTTTAAAGCTCACTTACTGCTTGTCACCAAGGTGCACCCTAACATGCATGTTTAATACCTCTCCTCCAGTTCCCAGTGACTGAGACACATTACATAGGCAACTTAATGAAGTATAACAGAGCCTGACTGGCTTACAGTGCATACCCTCCTTCTGTCTGATTCCTGCTGTTCTGAGGATTTTAGATCGATAGTAAACATTAGGGAGATTGCATAGAAGAGTTCTGGCAGTTATACTTCATCTCCTTGCCTGCGTTCATGTAATAAATGTGTATATTATCAGAATCCAGATCACCAGAGCAATGTCCTCCAAGCTCTATTCAAGGCTTTATCTTATCTTCAATGAACGGCTTTCTAGCTTATGATACTTCTAGTCCGGCCTTGAGCGGGACACGCTTACCTTTGTAGGATTCCAGCTTCATGTTTTTTAATCGGAGAACCTCGTCTGTGATCTTGTCGATGAGAAAATCCTGCGTCCTCAGCTGTTTGATCGATTCAATCAGCTTGTCGAGGCCCTTTGGGTTTTTCGCCAGTCGGTCCAGCAGTTCGCCCGCTCTTTTACTGCTGGTCGTCTGGCTCATAATTTCTTCTGTGTCATCCTTGTTTAATATCCTATTTGAGCGCAAGTAATCAAAGTGCCTTTCCGCGATCAGTTTGTCACACAGGTAGTGTCGTAGGCGTTCGATGGCCTGGAAAAGAACCAGCGGAATCAAGAATCGTAGTCTTTTTGATGTTTTTAGACAAGGGTCAAGTTAAAGAGACCCTGCCATGTCTCTATGGATTTGAAAAGGGCAGCTCGCTGTAAGAGAAAAGCCATTATGCTCACCTCTCCAGGGGCCTGTGTCTGCTACCCACCCTCTCCATTTCAGAGCTGCAACCTCCATTAGAGTCTTCAGAATTCAACACTTTGGGCCCTTTCACACCAAAATCTGAATTAATTCACAGGTCAACGGAAGGTCCGTTGACTTGTAATTGTACCGTCTGATCCGATGCGCTGAAAAAACAGTAGTGCACGTTCAGAACACAATGGAAATGTGTGGAGTGGTGTGACCCAGCCCCATTCACACCCATGGTAATTGTGCCTATGCAGTACCCTGCAAAATATAGCTTTTGTCTGGAATTCCTCCTAAAATACAGCAGTGCACTTCTTGGTATGTGAGTGTGCCCAGGCACTGCTGTCCTGTAGACTCATAGCTGTACATATATCTGCAGTGTGAGATCTCAGGCACAGCTGCCTCTGACTTCTAGTCCCTGTAAATTTGAAGTAAGGTTTGCTGATGTCACTGATGATCAGTTTTCTCCATGCTGGAGAGAAAGTTGTACCTGAGGATCTGAAGTACAAGGATCTCCCTGCTTCTGCGTCATTCATTCTGTGGGTCTTTGCTTTATAAACCTTAAAGGAGAACTATGGGGTTAGGGCTTTTCCCCACGGTTCTCTTCAGGGTAACGGGAGGATCGAATGCCGGTATGTGTTCGCTCACCTCCCGATCTACTGAGCTGACCTGTGACAGTCTCATTGTCACAGGTCGGCTAGAACTATGAGGTGAGTGAAAAGCACTCACCTCATAGTTCTCCTTTAAACCTTTCCTGCTTCTTCTTGAATATTCCTCTATCAGTCATCAGATTACCAGTCATTAGGGGGCAGCTCTGATATGAAAAAGCAAAGCTCTGCTCCTCTACAAACATGGACTCCTCCATACAGAAGCACAGTGCAGAATGAGGCATTGTAAGTCGGTGATAGGATAAATATTGAGCTGCAGGGAGACTGCAGGCTTGAAAGAGACCCACTTCCTTTTACACCAAGGCACTTTCCAATGCCCAGATGTCCTTGAGACACAACAGGAAGTGAAACAGAAATCACTCCAAAGTGAGGAAAAATCTTCTCTTATCCGTCATTTCTTAATGGCACCCCAACGCACTTAGCCATCGCAATGACCAGCAATGTGGTGTGATGTGATTTAAAACTAAAGGTGCAGGCACTTTCTTGAGTGAGATTAGCTGTAGTAGTCAGCCTATTCTCAGGAATGTGCTGCCCTACTGGAGCACACCGCAACACGCCCTGCAGCACCTCTGCAATGTCGCATCACAGAGGTGTGAATGGGAGCTCAGATAGTTAGTTGTCACGGAAACAGGTGTTTCCTCCCGCCTTCTATGTCAGTGGGAATTGCGGGCTGGGCGGGACACCGGACAGAGCCGCTACCCCAGGGAAGACCATCAGCTGATAGCACCCACCCCCATGCCTCAGGCGGCAAATAGTGTAGCTAACAGGCATAAACAATGCAATATGCATGAAAACGCAGGTGACCGGGCATGCATTTTCAATGTGTTGTAGTGAGTTTTATATGCAGTATGGTGTGAAAGGGCCCTAAAGCGTATCTAACCCCAAAAATGCAATGTTTTTCCCCCTTCATTTCTAAGATGTGTTATTATTTGTGTGAGGGGTATAGTTATGGTAATTTAGTTAATTTCATTTAACAAGCGTTCAATATATTTGCGTTTTCTTTTCTCTATTTGTGTATATTTGTTATTTGTGTTCTATCACTTTACATTTTTTTTCCCTGCTTACTGTTTTGTTTTATATTTCCGTGAAAAATACTTTAAACGATAACGCTAATTAATGCCCCTTTCACGGATCTTCTCCTGAACACAGCCGTAGAGAGCGGATAGCACCAATGGAGGAAATATCTGCAATGACTGGACCCCATGTTAGTCTATGGGGGAATCGGGTGTAAATGGACATGTGTCTGCTTACATCACATTACCCCCGATCCGGTCCGGTGAAACAGATCTCGGATCTATTTGGTTTTCCAGACCTGGCTGGAGTTAGGGGTAACCGGGTAAAAACAGACACCCGTCCGTTTACACAAGGCTGCCCATAGCCTTACATTGGGTATCTGATCAAGTCCGCCCTAAAAACTGACAGGCGGACCCGATTGGACCGGCCGTGTGGAAGGGGCCTTAAGAAGAACTTTTAAAACTTTCCTTTGCAGTGGGGCTAACCCCCCCCCCCCCACAGCCTCTTCTCCCCTGGGATCTGGTGGTGAAGTCATCACGTCTTATACAGGTTCATTGACTTGCATTAGCCGTAAGGATGCCGAGCGGCGTTCCATAGCCGGAACAGAGAGAGGAAGATAGGTGAGTGTTGACCGCTTTGGAACTGAGGACCTGGTGAGTAAAACTGTTTTATTTGACCCCCCCTAGACAACACTATTATTTAAAGGAGAACTATGAGGCGAGTGATTTTCACTCAGCCTCATAATCTGAGCCAACCTGTGACAATGAAACTGTCACAGGTCAGCTCAGTTGATCGGGAAGTGAGCGAACACATACCGTCGCTCGCTCACTTCTTGATCTATCTCTGCAGAGAGCCGTGACTGTCACTCACGGCTCCCTGCAGGGATTCCCCCTCGCCTGTCCGATCCTCTAGCGCTGACTGGCGAAACGGACGGGGGAGGGGGCGGGCACAGCTGGATAGGCAGAGCCAGCTGTCAGTCCCGCAGCTGGGTGGTTCCAGACAGTATTGTCGGGATCCGTCCCGGCTGCGGCGTCTCAGTATACTGAGCTTTGGGTCACGGGAGAACGCTAGTTTGTGTCTTCCCGTGACCCTTAGGGGAACTATGGGTAAAAGCCCTGACCCCATAGTTCTCCTTTAACCCTTGCCATGCGGAGGGGGGTTGGGGGGGCGCACTGCAAGGGTAAGTTTTTTAAACTTCTTCTTTAAAGGTGATTATTTTGGCCTAATAAGTGTAGGAGCTTCCAAAACCCTCAGGTGCCATTGGTTAGTCCTTTACACCCTCACAAACCTTTCAATGCATTAAGTCAAATTGGGGGGGAAATCACAATTTGGTAAAAATTTTGTAGAAATGAAAACTTGTTATTTGTCTCGTCCCTGACAAGGAAACGCAGCTCGGGTTGGATTAGATGACGGCCCGGTTGGGTCTGCGCGTACCTGTATGGGGCTGTCTGTGCCACTCGGCATCTTCCCTGCCTCATTGAATAAGCAAATCAACCAAAACGCAGAGCAAATTGTCAGCCGGAAAAGGAGTCATTTTTTCTTTTGTACTTACATCCCTTTTAATATCTGCCATGTCATCCTCATCCAGCCTCAGTGTTGTCATCTTGGCCTCCCCCTCAGGCCTTCCAGTATAGACACAGCGAGGGGCGAAGTGCAGCCAGGTGTGTGCGGGGAAGTTAAAGCCGGAAAGGGCGCAGATAGATTGGATTATCTCTTACGTAAATTTGCCTGCCTTCATCTACAAACCGCACGGAGGATTCTAGTATTCTCTGAGAGACTTCCTGTGCACAGAAGGTGAACTGAGCAGGAAAATCTCGTCTGAGGGCTTCCTGTCAGTGTGGTTGTCACAAGCATTGAACTTCCTCATACTTCTGTCTGTGACGTGCTCAGTCACATTTCCTGAATTCCTCTGACAAACACAACATGGCTGCTCATTGCCGGGTACAGTGTGTTAAAGCCAGCAGGGAAATTAAAGGAGGGCTTTAGGCACGGGGTGGGCAAACCCCGGCCCTCCAGCTGTGGTGACACTGCAAATCCCAGCATGCATCTATCTTTGTGAGTCATGCCTGTGGCTGTGAGATTCTTGCAAAGCCTCATGGGATTTGTAGTACCACAACAGCTGGAGGGCTGGAGTTTGCCCGCCCCGGCTTTAGGCAAATGTAATTTATTTCCTCCTACACCTTTGCTACTATGATTTCAGTGTTTTATTTCAGTAGGGAAGGTTAAATCAATTGCTTTCTTTTTTGTGGCCTGTGTAATTTCCCTTTGCTTCCTGTCCTGGAAGCTCAACAGGAAGTGAGAGGATATCTTTCCGATGTGAGGAAAGTCCCCTCTGAGTTTTCAAGGGAACAATTGTCCCCATTGGGGAGATTTACTGTCTATTCCTGTTCAAAACTGTGAATTTACCCCTCACTTTTATTCCTGGTGGTCTTGGTGATCGGGACAATTAGAGAAAGTGAGTCTCTCCAACGTGGGATTGTCACTTATTTAGATTTGGAAATATATGTAACTAACACCTCTGTATTTAAAGTAGAACGGAATCCAAAACCTATTTTTTAGTTTTGGATAGGGAAAGAAAGGGTTATAATAACACCTGTCAGGCTTTTTTTTGCCATCTATGTCCTATTGAGGAGATTTCCCTTCACTTCCTGTCTGATAACTACAGCAGGAAGCAAGGGGAAATCCCTCAAAAGAGAGAGAAATGCCTGGTGGTCACCAGAACTAAGGTCCACATTGGAAGATTTCCCATCTATTCCTGTTCTGGTGACAATGCCAAACCTGGGATTTTCTCTTACTTTTACTTTCAGTAATAATGATCACCAGGACACATAGAGTGGGTGAGGCTCCCTAACGGGGACACAGACAGCAATAAAAACCTGGCAGGGGTTCTAATCCCTCTCCACTCTATCCAACACTAAAAAAAGTTTTGGCTTCCACTGCACTTTAATACATAGGGGTGTATCTGCAAAACATTGAGGGCCGGTTCACACCACAATGTGTCTACGTTCCGGTCCAGTGCGTTCTGCAAAAATACTGCAAGCACTAATGTGTCTGCGTTCCGGGTGCGGGACATCGCACTGCAGGCCCCCCGCGTGGCTGCGGTACCATTGACTTCAGGGAGCAGGCCGGCTTGCGTTCCAGATGCGGAACGCACTGGAAAGCGGAGTTTGTGGTGTGCATCGGCCCTCGTAGTTTCATAGTTTTAGATTCGGTGCATAAAATGGCCACTAGATGGAGCCGAGGAGCATTGCAAATTCCTAATCCTCTTCTGCTCCATCTAGTGGCCATAATTCAGTGTGAATCTAACACCAATATGTTCGTACAGCAGACAGCTCTGCGGACATATCATAAACACGCCCCATAGCATTTAAGGAGCGCTGCTATTTCTTTAATTTAGCAATAAAAACATGAGAAAGGTTCTAACTCCTCACTACCCTATTCACATCTAAAAAAACGTTTTGCCTTTAGTTATACATTAGGACAGCTGTCTCCTCTGGAAATAAGAGGAGATCTCTTCAAAGCGAGGGGAGACCCACAAGGCACTGTGCACCGCTCAGTGCCTTGTGAGCCCTGATTGGCTAAAGCCTGTGGTCAGGTGCAAGACTTTGCCCAATCAGGGCCCAGTACTCTGTAAGAGCCATGATTGGGCAAAGTCATGATGACTTTGCCCAATCATGGCTCACCTGTCAGATGCCGTACAACTGTAACAGTTGGACGGAGCTAGCTGTCACCGCTAGCTCTGCCCAGTTCTTTCTATGTTGCCGGTATCTGTAAAAATGCCATTCTGCGGCGGGAGTTAGTTGCGAGTGGACGGGGGGGCGGCGGTCGTCATTTTTTAAAAATTATTATTTTTATTCATTGTTTATTGTTTTATTTTGAGTCGCCGTCGTCGTGAACAACGCTGGACGTCGTGATTGACCATGGATTACATTGGTGGATCCATTTTTTGTTTTTTAAATAAAAGACTTGTCAAAAGCTTGTCTTTTGTTTGTTTTTTCCAAATAAAGCATTTTTTCGAAAGTCTGGCCTCTTTTTTTACAATTTTATTTAACCCTTTTGTGCATGGGTAGCCCTTACTCATTAACAAGGGGGGCGGCATCTGGGTGGCTTGTGGGGAAGAGGCCCTTGCCCCCATCGGCATGGGGACAAGGTGCTTTTCCAGGGGGAAAAGCACCCTACCAGTGCTGAGGAAATGTGGCCTAGTCGCTGGGGGTGGGGGTTGCTCGTCCCCCCCCTTTCCTGCCCTGCCCGGCCTGTGCCCGGATCAAGGGTCTGGTATGGAAATTTAGGGGGGACCCCGCGTTTCCCCCCCATTTTTGGGGGTGGTGTCCCTCCTAAGATTCCTACCAGACTTTAAGGGTCTGGTATGACTTTTGGGGGAATCCCCACGCTTTTTTTTTTTTTTGCAATAATTTTTTATTTTCCAACATAAACATAAAACATACATGGTACAGATATAATGATAATTCTAAGACGCTAGTAACAGTCACCTTCTTGATTACATTCGCAGTTCTGTTGTTATGTTTCAACTGTTAACATAGAGATCAAGCCGTATAAACTTTAGCGTCCTGAGATGCTTGTTGAAAGGGCCAGAGTACCCTATCTTAGAAATAGAGATAAAAGGAAAGAAGGAAGATCGAAAGAAATAGAGGGGTATATTGCGGGAGGCATAATAGCCGAAAGCCTTCCTGCGCTTGCGCGGCGAGTTCAGGCCCTGGACATTGTGGGTTATAATTTTATAGGAAGACATCATAATAGATAAGCTGTTGACTCACCATCCAAGTGGAGGCCCGACTGATATGCTGCGAATAAGGTAGGATCTGTGAGCTGGCGGTTCCACTGCCACTAGGGGGAAGGGGGGGAATCTGACAGGGGCAGGGAAGGGGGAAAGAAATAAAGATAAGAAGACAAAAAAGACAAGCAATATACATGTGAAACACATGTATGCTCAGTAGCATTACAGACAGCGGGGGTACCTGGGGCACCCGGACACGAACTAGCTAACAGAGTACATAAATTTAAATACTAAACGGTGCGTAGAAGCTATAAACAGTGATATTAAACATTTTGGCACTGCCAGCCTACGGTGTGCTTCACCTGGTGGAATGGAGAGAAGGGGATGCCAGTTGGGAAGAGTCGGGGGGGTCAGGGAGGGAGGGATATAGGTAGGGTAAGGGGAGAGGAGATAAGCCCAGGGAGGAGAGGAATGAGCAAGGTGAGGGGGAATAATGCGGGAACATGTCGCCAAAACACAAACAATATGCCAACAATGTAATCCGTCACGGTACTCCTGTTTGAGTATCGAGTATTGCCCCCCTATGGTTGTTCAACTGTATCTATCAAAACTATCACATAACAATGACAATGTCCCCCACCTCAGGGACCAATGCAGGCCTTTCCACGAGATGTTGGTTAAATTGGGGACAGTGGGCTAAAGGCAGTATATCATGGAGCTCGACAAATCCAACCCCGCTGAATTCACAAACAAGGGATGAAAAATGGGGGGGGGTGATGGCGTCCATTCCTCGTTGCGGCGGCCTTTGTGGTTGGCAGGCCGTTGCCGTGCTTCGAGCCCAAGCGGATCTTCGGGCAACACAAAATCTGCCCTCTGGTACAATCCAGGGGGTTAGTAAGAACCAAAGGGCCACTCGTGCCAAACTGTTATAACAGGCCAATAGTGCCAACGGAAAAATAAAACGAAGTGTACCTAGGCAGACCTAGGGGCATCCGGTCACAATACCCGGTAGTCGGGGACTGCAAACTGACGGCAGGCCCGGGTATATTCCGGAGACAAAAAGGGGTGGGGGCCATTCTAGAGTCGGGCCACTCACCCTCAACGGTCCTCCGATCACCGCGGGAACCAACGCCAGGTTGCAATGGAATCCGGTAGGCCCCAACGCGTTGTCATCCGTGGGGTTCTTCCTGAGAGCGTGGGGATCGTTGTCTGCTGTCAGCTTTTTTCCGGTTAGGTCGTGGGCCGCGTTCCCATAGCGGTTGCAAACGTCGTCTCGGTTGGGCCTGCGGAGCCAGCGGCGGGATGTTGAGCATATCCGGTGTGGTCAAGCGTAGAGACTCCAGCAGCGTGCCCGCTTCCTCCGGAGTGGCGAATGAGTACTGACGACCCTCGTAGGCAAAGTGGGCTTTGAGAGGGAAGCCCCACTTGTATTTGATGTGATGGTGCGCCAGGGAGTTCAGGTATGGTTTCAGGGCCTTCCTCTTCTGAAGGGTCTGTGGGGCCAGATCAGAGTAGACTTGATATTTGAAACCCTGGAACGTGAGGTCACGGCGCTCCCAGGCTGCCTTCACGATTTCCTCTTTAGCCCTGTAAAAGGTCGGCTTAAGGATTACGTCTCGCGGTGGTCCCTCCGGTCTTTTGGCGCCCAGGGCCCTGTGCACCCGATCCATCTCAAGTCTTTCGACCGGGTAGTGCGGGAGGAGTTCCTGGAACATGGCCGTGACCGTGGCATTCAGGTCCTCCACATGTTCAGGGATACCACGTAAGCGAATGTTCCAGAGCCTGTTCCTATTCTCCAGGTCTTCCAGCTTGAGGAGGGTAGCAGAAAGATCAGTTTTAAGATCAGTTTTAACGGAGTCTAGGTCCTGTTTGTGAGATTCCACAATGCTGACCACGTCATCCATTTTGCATTCAATATCATTTATCCTGGAGCCCAGTTCTTTGATATCGCGGGAGAGCTGTGCCGCCAGTTTGTCGGTGGCGGTTCTCAGCTCCTTCTGTAGCAGGAT